GAGCAGTCCTGTGTGAGCTGGGGGCCAGGTCTGGGTCAGAGCACGTGTCTTGGTGTTCCCTCTGAAAACTCAGGTAGCCACTTTACCTCTGTCAACCTCAGCTTTCTCATTCCTAAATTAAGGTTGGTGACATCATTTTCCTATGGTCATAGTGAGGATGAACTTAGACACCATGGCAAAAGCCCTTTAAAAAGTCTGGAGCACATTAATTCATGAAAGATACCATAATCTTAATTTTGGTGAATATTGTTGTGTATAATAACATCATATTCCACAATGTTATATTAGTGCCACCACCAATATAAAGTACCCCTGTGTGGTGATAAGATTGACATTACTATATTATAGTATTAAGGTTGTACCAAGTATTTTCCAAACATAAAGAAGTGTTCACAGATAAATATGTGTTTCTTTAGTATGTACTGAGTTCCTTGGCACTGGTGGCATCAAATCTTAACTTGGGTGATGTTTGGAGCAGGGTACCCTGAAGAGAACTGTCAACATGAGCTCCAGAATGCCTTCCATTCCAGGAAGACTGGTGGGAAACTGAATCCTATTGGGAAAAACTACACTATGACAGCGCTCTGTCATATTGCTGATATTGCTCTCAGTGACATCCCTACTGACATCAGGGGATGAGAATCCATGACCACTTCACAGGGGCCTCACATTATATTTTTTATCCCTCGTCTTAATTCTAGTCTAGCCTTTGGAAGATGCCAGTGTAAATTCTAACAAGATAGAGATGGTGATGATTTGAGCTTTAATGTGATCTTCTAAGCCTAGGCTGAAAACTGAAGTGCAGTCAAAAGTAAGGAAAGGGCTGAGAGGTTATCAGGGTGCGCAAGCGGCAGGAGCTTTGGCTTGGGTTATCAGCACTGGATGTTCCTAGAGGGCTAAGCTCACAGCAACCTGGAGGGGACTTTCCTCAGTGCCAAGTGACTTCAACAGCGGATGTGGAGGAGGAAAGAGCTGCTGCCCAGGAAGGGCTGCTTATGAGGGAAGACTGACCCAACCTGGGGGAGTACAAAGAATTCTCTCTTTACATTTCTTGCTTTCAACTGCTATGCTTCCTGAAAACAGAAGTAGAGATGCAGACAGCACAAAATAATCCCACCCTACATCTGGGCCTTGAACCTGGAAACTAGAACTCCAGGATGGAAAACACTGGCTGATTTTCTGAGTGCCACGGGGATAACAGAGTGCGCTGGAGTCAGAGGTTCGGGATTAACTTGATCTCCGTTCTCATACAGAAGGCTGCAGTTCCCGTTTTGGCTCCTCGCATTCTGCGTCACTGAGAGCAACTGAATTAAACAATTTGAATCTTCTTTGCTTCCCTAGTGAATCAGAACAGTAATTGCGCACTGCCTTTGTCCCAGACTTACTGCGATGAGTTAGGGGGCTAGGTGTGAAAGTGCTTTGTAGTCAGGGCGGTTCCATTGTTGGCTGCTTTTGTCTGGAGCTGATTCTTCCCAGGCCCTGCAACCCAGGGATGCTGTCCTGCCCTGTTCTCTGCTCCTGTCCCTCATCCCCTCTGTCAGTTTTCCCGCTCTGCTCATTGCAGCAGTAGCCCAACTCTGAGGCAGAGAACAAAGCCACAGGGAAATCCTTGGATGGATTTCTCATTTCACAGCACTCCTCAGTGTATGCATACACACTGAGCATTGAATCACGGCCTCACAGTGTCCATGGAAAGGACAAACGGGGGCCAGTACTATAGTTGAAGGGCTTAAGTGCTAGTTCAAGGAAAAGGCAGATCTGGGTAGAAATTCTTTCTCCACCTGAGCCTGAGGTTTCCAGCCACAGTAAATACTATAACTATACTTATGCCACAGGGTTGTTAGGAAAGCTTTAAAAAAGAACCATGTAACATCATTCAGCAAGCAGTCTTGAGCACCTCCTACATGTCAGGCAGTTTCCTCATCTGTAAAATGGGGAGAGCAGCAATGCTTGAATGTGAGAAGGAGGATCAAGGAGGTAACTGCACTGAAACACTTAACATCCTGGACATAAACAAATTGTTCAAAAATTAGCACACAGACACCCACACGTTCTCATGCAGTAGATGCCATTAATGCCTTGTTTAATAGGCGGTGAAAGGAAAACACACAAGGGCTGCCAGACCAGCTCAGAGTCACTTGGGTGCTAAGAGTAAAAGCAGGATTATGACAGGGTGAAGTGTGCCTGTTAGAGTGTGTGACAAACAGTAAACATTCAATAAGGTGTAGCTATTTATATTATCAGCCAAAGCACTTAAGACGCTGGTGTCTGCACAGTGGTCATTCTGTAAATGTCAGTGGGATTATTTGTCTTGCTGGAAAGATGAGTAATGGCTCACTGCCCCAAAGATTTCCACTCCTTAGTCTATTGCCGGCAGCTGAATTGTCATTTTATCAGAGCTTGGGAACCAAGCTGCGAGTATAAATTCATGTCTTACCATTGTTCTCATTCTTTCTCTTAAAGCCTGAGTCTTTGAAAACACAACCACATTTGTGTGTAATAAAACTGCTGTATGATTTGCTTGCCTCCTAGATGTTCTTTGCTCTTTGGGGACAGCTGCTGACAAGCAGTGAGAGTTTGCTTTTGCTTCTGTGCTGGGACTGTAATTAACTGCTATGGAAAGGAAGAGGGGGAAGGATAAAGGCAGGAGCAGGAAGGATAAGGCTGTGTGTTTATTCAAGAGGCCAGTGCCAGGGTCTTGTCAGAGGAGGGGAAGATAACACTCGCCTGCTGGTTTACACACCAGTGCCAAGCCCCTAGACAGGCAACCTCTTTCTAACTTGAGAGTTACCCATTCTAAAGGGCTTGAATGTGCTGAAAACTGGCAACGACGGTACACTTGGTGCTTCTCCTTTGGGGTGTTGTGAATTTATTTTCTGTCACGCAGCAATCCTTTATGGCCAGCAGTTTCTAAACCAACAAGCTTCTTCCTATGAATGTAATTTATCATCCTGTTGTCATGAAAATTAAAGGAGACCGCCTCCCTTCAAATGTTATGTTTCCCACCAGAAAAGCACCCCTCCAGCTGAATTTGCTGGACTGCTTTACAGAATTACAAGTTCCTATCCTCACCCACCTATTGTCAGAATCCTTGGTTTGTGGGTCCAGGTATCACAATTTTTCGTAAGCTCCCCAGGTTATTCTATGACACAGTTATGAAGAAAACAAATTCAGACAAATAAGTTGTAGACAGAGATGTTGAGATACTTAAATTTATCTTCAAGAACAAAGACATAATTCTTAGGACTTCTGACTCTGAAATGAATGCTTTTTTTAAAAAATGAAATCTTGGGTTTTTTTGCTTCATGAAAGCTAGGAAAGTTCCTTCATAAACTTCACACCCAGGTTTATTTACCCAAGGTCAAAGCTCAGAGGAAACAGGAAGACATAGGCTTTGACTATCCGATGTTCATTTATGATTATTATTGAAATAAGGAGAAATACATCTTGGAGAAATCAAAAATTAAAATTTAATAGTAATATCAAAGAAGAAGGAGCAGAGAGGCTGGAGATTTAGCTCAATGGCACAGTGCCTGCCTGGCAAGCGTGAGGTCGTGAGTTCGATTCCCAATACTGGGGAAAAAAAAGCAAAAAAACTACAAACAAAAAAAAAAAAAAAAAAGAAGAAGGAGCAGAAAAACTTTGGAATCAGTGTATTTGTGGGTTGGTGACCTACTACCTGCCGGTCAAGAATGTTGCTTTCCAGAGTTATGTAAACGAAGTGAGTTTATGCTGACATAGTTGTCCTTGGTTTGCTGGAAGCAAAAGCGTCTTATGCACATTGAATATTTAAAAAACCTTCCTAGTCACGACTATACTGGTTGCTCATATTGTCTTGATAAGACATGTTATCAAATCCATTTAAATGATGAGATTCAGAGAAGAAAAGGATTTTTATTAGCAATTAACTCAAGTCCAGAGACTATTAGAAAGGAACACTATTATTAAAATTTTTTGAGTTTGACTATGTGTCAGGCAACTCTTTAGTCCCTGCTAATAACTTTGCCATTTAATCCTCATAAGTACAGTACCTTATGTACATGTCAAATTTACAACTTACTATGGGATGGTGATTACTTTTACTGATGAAGGTACTTTGGTATAGGGAATAAAACACTTTTAATTTATTTCTCTATTTATTCAACAAGTAAATTCTGAGATTTTAAATTCTACAGACATTTAGGCTCTAAGGGATAACAAATAAGCTAGGTTCTGCTGTCAGAGAAATTATACTTGACTTGAGAAAAATGAGTACTAACCAAATATACTCTCTCTCTCTCTCTCTCTCTCTCTCTCTCTCTCTCTCTATCTATCTATATATATATATATATATGAGACAAGCTACAGGAAAGCAAATTGCATTGGGAGAAGTGGTCTGTTTTAGAAACTGTGGTCAGATCAGTGATGCTTTTGCAGCCACCTGAAGGAGGTGAGGGAAGGAACAAGCGCAAAGGCCTGCACAACCCTGGGCATATCTCTACTGATGTAGCAAATGCCTGTAGCAGCATGATCAAGAGACAGTATAGGAAATGAGGCAAAGGGTACATTCTATCATGGTAGGGAAAATCCTTTAACTAAGAGGAGGATGGGAACCTCCTGGAAGGCATTCAATAGTACAGTGACATGATGCAATATATTGGGATATATCCTTAGAGGACTGCTGTGAATGCCGTAGGAGGGATAGTCTACAAAGAGGAAGAGTAGAACTTGTCCCAGGTGATACATCTATGAAGTGTTAGGAGATAATGATGATCACAGTCATTGTCTCTATTTTTATATATAATTTCCTAGACCAGACTTCCTAAAGACACAGGGATCTGTGTACTGAGCACACTTATCTTACTTTCTGGATATGCTGTGCTCAAGTCAAGTACAAGAGAATATCTGTGTGTGCAGAGGTCGCTGCCCTCTGGCCCACCGGGTGGACCAGCAGGCACGGCTGGGCGTGGACACAGTCAGGGCTGCTCTCAAGGGCATGGCCGCGGGGAGCCCTCACTCACCTTGGACTTCTCTTGGTGAAGCTCTATCTGAATGTCTGTGAGCTTGGTCCTGAGGTCTTCATTGGCAGCTTGAAGGGCGACAATGAGTGCCTCGGGCTTCTCGCCCTTATTTCGCCCTTTCTTGGACATTGTTTCTTTCTAAATGGAGTCTGTTGGTTTTTAATCTTTTCCAATGGGTGCTGCCATGTTACTGGTTCTCATCCTGGAGTGAGATGTTCCAGCATCTACTGCGTGGTGCTCCTTGGTAAGGTCTCCTCAGCTGCCCTGGAAGCCCTGAGGAGAGGCAGAGACAGCAGTGACTATCGGGCAAAGAGAGCAACCAGTCCTCGCTCAGCATGTGTGGCCTGCATGTGGCTCCTCTGAGGCTCTCCTGTCTCCAGCATCTCCTCTGCACTTGACACCAAATGTACAATGATTTCTGTTTTTTTGAAAAGCTTAGCTTGATCGTGTCAACACCCTGCTTGAAATTTAAGCTCCTTCACCTGAGCACCTGCATCTTGCATCGTGGAGTGCTTTTCTTGCCTGAACCTGCCTGCTGTTCTTTCCTTATCTCCTGCACATCACCCACTGGTACTCTGATCCTAAACACACAGCTGATGAAACTCTCCCTCATGCACTACCTCCTACTGCTCAGAGCTCCAACTTTAAGAAAACCCAATATATGTAGACAAGGTTATGCAATGGCTAAGCTGTGGGAAGTGGAGATTAAATGAATTCCTGGGCTAACTAAGTTACTTATACAGCCCTTCAGTTACAATTATTAGAGGTCTTTCCATATGCTTTGCTAGAACAATGTGTTTAAAGTTTTATAATTCAGAATTCCAAGGCAGAAAAAAGAAATCCCCACTCTCTTTCCTTCTCAATTGCTCTATCACCCTCCTTACCATCATATTTCAGATGTTTTTCCTTTTAAATAAACACTAATTGCCCTAGATGTGCAGGGAAGGATCTTTGTTTCTGCTTGTGGTGAATAAGGAAGCTCCTTCCCCATCAAGAAAGCGGGCATCGGCCTGGTGCTGGAGGAGTGGGCAGGATGTTAACAGATGGAGAAACAGGTAATGCAGCTTGGGCAAACAAAATGTCAGACACAACAGGGAGAAGCCACAGTGACTGTTCTGTGGGGGTAAAATGAGACTTATTCATCACCACCTCCAGAGAAGGCTGGTGGGCGCTCACGTTGGAAAGATTTCCTGGAAATGATAGTTGAGGGCAGACCTGGAATTTCATGCTTAGAATTTTGTAGTGAGGACTATGTTGAAGTTCCTGAGGGGAGCAACAGAACAGCAATTTAGGTGACTATTTTGGTGGCAGAATCGGGGAGAGGATGGAAACTGGGAGGATAGAGAGGAGGCTGCCTAATTTGTCCAAATGAAGAATGATGGAATAGAAGGAGGAGGTCAGAAAACAGTAGATACTAAACCATTAACCTCAATGGGAAAAGCATCACAAGGCACTAGAGAAACTTTCCCATGTGGCGTTGCAGAAAATCGGGGACTGTGTGCATTGAGGGGCTTCAGTACAGAACTGACGTGAGCTCCCACCAGTTGCCTATGCCTTTCAACTGCTGCTGCTTCATTTTCCTTAACTCTGAGCACTGCTGGGATACGGGGCAGTGTGCACCCCTCACAGGCACTGCAGGAGTGACCTTTGGAGTGTGGCCCTGGGAGCAGGAGGGTAGACAAAGCAAAGGAAAGAGGGAGGGTGAACCTGTCCAGAGCAATCATGGACTTGTCTACTGTATCCCATCTTCTACTAGATGGTGGAGTAGTGGAGTTGACTTGTAAGCTTCCTTTGCATATCTTGCCTAGTCCCTAAAGTGCAGGTCAGGGAGACCTTGAAGAAGCCATTCAGTGTGAATATTTAAATGAATTCAGCAAGCATTTATCAAACATTTGTCTGACAAGCAGCAACGGGCATAAAGATAAATAAGATGGTATTTAATCTCAAGCAGTACTGGGTCAGTAAATTCACATACATGTCTAACAAATTCTTTTTCCTTTGGTTATCTGTAAATGTCATTGTTTCCCTGGGCTTCTCCAGCTGTTATCCCATGACATCATCTATGACCCCCCCAGTTTTATATCCATAGCCTTAAATATACTCCAAACCCCAGACTCATAATGTAAATTCCACAGCTTATTTATTAAACCAGCTTGAATATCTAATTAGCACCTCACACCTGATACAACTGATGCAAATGTCAAGTTCTCCAAAACCTTACTTTCCTCAGGTTTTCCCACATCATTAAATGATACTACCAACAAGCACAGTTCTGGATTCCATCTTAGAAGCTGTCATTTCTTCTACTTTATTACTGTCATCTTCTATTCAATTTACTATAAATCCTGTTTTACTTATAAAATAAAGCTTTTGTTTTAGCTAATTTCTTTCCAGCCCCTAACATGCTGTTGGAACACAGAGGAAAGAAGAGCTTAGGAAAGAGGAGCTTAGGGAAAGTTTCATAGATGCTTCATAGTCCCTTCCTAGTTATGTATCTTCTTGAATAAAGAATAGGCTTTTCTCCATGGACATGTGGAGCACATGGGAAAGAGTTTGAGCAAAAAACGGCTGCCACAGATTTGCCTGGTATATTTAGAAAAGGCTGCAAACAGAGAGAAGACAGATTAGCGTCAGATTTCAAAGGTTCGTACATGATAGGCTGGGGAATTTGCACTTGGCTGTAAAGAAATGAGGAAACCTGGAAGCATTCCAACGTAAGTGTAATAATAATAATTATAATCATAGAATGAACTGGGACAGACTGATTACCATGCATCTATCATTAGACTAAGTGGTAATTTTTTTCACAAAAATTCAGGAAAAAAAATCATTCAGACAAACTAAAGTAACTTGCCCAAGCTAGACAAGTTGGTAGGCAACAAGGCTCAGACTCAAATCCAGGCAGTTTGGGACCCAAGCTCTTATGCTCTGGAACGCACCAAGTCAGACTGCCGTTTAGAAAGGTACCTTTGTCTGCGTCATTAAAGACGAGTTAGTAAGGAGGGAGGAACTGTTGGAAGAAATCAGCTAGACTTTCCCAGTGGTCCATGTGAGAGATAATGCAGCTCTAGAGATGAGACAGGAGGAAGCAGCTTTGACAGGTGGAGAAATGATGGAATCATATCTTATTTTTACTGATTTGAATATTCTTCTGTCCCATTAGAGATAATGAGTAAGTGGGTGCCAACTCACTGGAGTTGCTTGCAGCCAAAATGTGCAAAGCAATAATACAACAGATGCAGTCTGCATTTTAATTTGTAACATTTTTTGAAGAATGTAGTATTATATGACTGATTTCATGTAGTTTTTGGTTTGGGAAGTATCATAAAATCAATGCCATGAAGGTTAAGGAAAGGAAAGGGTGAAAAAATTAGATACATCTTTAGGAGAGAAATAGCACGATAAGAATTAGCTTATGGATGCTTCAAGGCAGAGAACTCCATAACAAAGGTCCTAGGCACCCTTTGATTGTGGAGGACTTTCCACAACCTTCTGCAGTTGTGGTGGGTGCCTAGCTAGCTCACGATTCTCACTCTCCAGTTTTACTATAACTTCTTTTTCTTAATGTGTGGCCTTTCTTTCCTTTATATTGGACAGCTTTTTAAAGATAAAATTCATATACAATGAAATTCATACTCTTCAAAGTATACAGGCCAGTGATTTTCATACATTTACAAGGTCATATAACCATCACAGTTAATTTTAGAAAATTTCCAATACCTCAGAAGGCAAGCCTTTATCTCTTAGGGGTTATTTCCTAGTCCTCACCAAACTCTCCCAGCCCTAGGCTAATGTTAATCTACGTTTCATTACGATGGGCTAATGTTAATCTACGTTTCATTACTATGGGCTAATGTTAATCTACGGTTCATTACTATGCATTGCCTGCTCTGGACATTTTATACAGTCATACAATACTTTTTGGTGACAAATGTCTTCTATATGAGCATAATGTTTTCAAGATTCATTCACATTGTTGCATGTGTTACACGGCATGAATAAACTGCATTTTGCTTCTGTACTCATCAGCGGCTGAGCACTTTGCTGCCTTTCATAAGTGGCTTAAGGTCAGGCTGTTTTAGAAGCCGCCTATGTGAAGAGGGACATCAATCCCCTAGGGACTGTGTGCAAGAGCACAAAGGAGAGTCTGTGAAGGGGTCACTGCATACACGAGCTGTGTTTCCAGATAGTCCTTGTCATTGATGATGCCCAATGCAGCGTATTAGCTGGAGGAGGGATAGAAGCCTTGCTCATCTAAGGACCGACCCCTGTGGGAGTTTTATAACATAAAATCACTTGAAAGGATTTTAGATGAGCTCTCAATGTCCTTCTCACAGCTCCATGGTCAGGCAGTGGGAAACCCTGGCCACACAGTGAGGTATCAAACGTGTGAATTTCACCCTACCCTTCTGGTCCCATCCTAGTCTTCATCAGGCACCTTGTATAGACACAGACACAAAGTTTCTCTGTTAATACATCTCTTATAAACATATCTGAGAATTTAGAGAAAGCCTTTTGACATCTTTGCATTTAAAAATGAGTTTTTGTTTCAGAGAAAATATTATTGCAAAAATAGATTATTAGTGGAAGAACTGTAGATATTTGTGGAGGAGGAAATACAGTGTAGTTCTTTAGGGCAGAGCTCCACCAATGTTTTCTACCACAATCCACTGGAGCGCTTTAGCAACCTGGAGCTCTACCTCTGGAAACTGCCAGCTGATTATGATTCATAGCTGTCTTTAAGGATTTCTGGTTAACCGTATGAGCTGTGGAGTCAGACAGACCTGAATTTAAATCTTACCTCTGCATTTAATAGTCACTCAATCTGGAAGAGGCCATTTAATTTTCTAGGTCTCAATTTTACCATCAAAATGGGGTGAGAGGGACAGAGCTGTATGGCATTGGACTGCCATTAGCCAAGGTGGAGGAAGTGAACTAACCTATGAGCACAGTCCTCAAGATGCTTAAATTGGGTGTGCAAAGTTTTAGGGGGTGTGCAAAAAGGTATCCATTCGAGATTCTTAGTTGTTTTCAAGTTGACAAAATTGTATGTATTTATGCTGTACAACATCTTGTGTCAGAATGTATATTCACCATGGAATGGGCAAATGAAGCTGACTCCCAAGCACATTTTACCTTGCAGATTCACTTTATTGGGTTAAAAACACTTAAAATCTACTCTCTCCACAATTTTCAAGTTTATAATACATTGTTATGAACTGTGTTCACCAGGTTATGTAACAGATCTCCAGAATTTATTCTTCATCTCTCTG